AGAGAGAGAGAGAGAGAGAGAGAGAGAGAGAGAGAGAGAGAGAGAGAGAGATTTCCATCGATAGGATGAGCAACGCACCGACCAACAGGTAAGTCTCCAAACCCGCGGCTGGCCTCAGGCTACATACCTTGTATTCGAATACAGGGTACGTACCTTGTATTCAAGGTGTGCCTTGTTCATGTAACTCTCTTTCTCTCTCTCTCTCTCACACACACACACACACACTGTGGAGTGTGTTGTCCATGCACGTGGGCGTTATGCTCTCTCTCTCTCTCTCTCTCTCTCTCTCGCGCGCGCGCGCGCTCACACACACACACACACACACACACACACAAACACACATAGCGTTCCCGGATCGTGAGCACGCAGTGCAGTCAATGTGTTCTTTAAAAAAAAGAACTTCACGCTGCAGCCCCGTCCTATTCATTATATTATTGCTAATATTTACTATACACTTTTTTTTCTTTTTTTCCCCTTGCCGCAGGAAAGTTGCACCCTAAAATTCATTCTACAAGGTACGTACCTTGTTTTCGGGCTAAGACGGGTGTACAGGAAGGTCAGGTCTCCATCTTCGCCCACCATAGTTTGGGTGATTGAGCCAGATCTACTGCCCACCGCGTTGTTATTTTAGCGGTAGTGCCCTCGCAGGTTGCGCCACGATAGGCTTTCTCTTGATAAGCATTCAATCAGGACTCAAAAAGACTCGACTCGACTCGTATCCCACGTCGTTCCGCAGGAGTAAAACCCTCCTAGGTGGCCACACCCCCTTTAAGTCTTTACTCCCTCGACAAGACGTAGGCCCGCTGTTTAGGTTACGCCGATCAGCAGCCGATACTAGGGGTTGCGCCCTAGTGATGCTAAACTTTACCGTTAGCTTGGTATTCTCATAAATGCCCTAAGATTAGCATAAGTGGCCGGCCGGTGTGTCGCAACAATACAGGCTTATTGCGGGACTACGCAAAGGTCTGTCACACATAAAAGGAATTTACCAGTCTTCTGTGGGACAACACAGAGAAACACGACAACCTCTCCACATTCACAAAACAATATCACCGCCAGATTCACAAGGCCGTGACCTCCCTACTTGACCAGAGTAAGAAAATCACCTCTCAGCGACATCTCCCAAAATAAATCACGTTTGCGACTTCCAAAATTCCACCAAAGGCCAAGTAAAACTTTGTTCTTCTCATCAGACTTTATCATTCAAAATCAACTTACCCTGCCATTAAATCTATTAACCACCTTTCATATGAAGGAGGTCTCGCTCAATAGGTCTCTCAGTCATCCCTTCTCGTTCTAGGATGAATCCTCATGCGACCTTTCTTTAAAACATCTTCCCTCTTTGAAGATGAGTCTTCCAATAAACAAGAGACTGCCTTCCCACTCAAAGGCGTCCTTACCATTAAACAACTCAAACTGAGAGACCAACTTATAGGTCCTCATCACAACTCAACAGTAAACATTCGGCATGGTAAGTATTCGAGTCTCAAAGACTCATAAATCCCTTAGGATTCTCGCACTCTTTCACAAAAACAGACTGCACTCCCTCTCCTTATACCCGGCCCTATCATCCGCTCATGGGCAGATCGCATGAGTATACCGAAGAGTAGACAGTACACATTTATTCACATTCACAAAATACATCGCATACGAGATGTTTCTCATACATCTCTCACACAAAACCTTCATACATCAGGATAAATCCAGACATGTGAGAGCGATAGTGATCGTCATATACAAGGGAATAATCTCAAATAAGCCTCAACTCAAAGCCCACTCAGGGATGAAATATCTCACCCAAACAAGCAAGTAAAATTTCAGATAAACTCTTAACTCAGTATATACTCAAGGATGAGGTATCTCATCCTAAAACACCCGTAGCCGCCCAGATCCATAATTCACTTGGATCAAACAATGTAACTCTCAATATGGCCGATAGCTAATTATACTGTTTAGAAATGTCGCTGAGACAAACACTGAATCTGAATGTCAAAGTCAAAGAAGAATATCCTCAGCATACACATGCTATCTTACATAATCCTGACTCTCATATCACTAAAAAGAATCTCAATGGGAATCATTCAGTCAAACCTCTGCCCTAGTGTACATACTTTGCTCATCCTTATGCTATCCTAACAGTAATCAACACGTAGGTAAACCAGTCCCTACTCATCTCCTCCTGGTTTTGCCTATACAATTGAACTCTGCCCCCATCGGCAGATCGTTCTACTACTCTACCTTGTCTATCATACATCCTACCACCACTCTCAGTAACCTTCCCTGCTGCCTTGTCCTTCAAAAACTTAGGACACTGCAAGGCCCTATGCTCCCCATCCTTGCAAAAAACGCAGGTCGGGTCGTACGACTTTCTTGGCCTCTTCTTCTTTCTCTAAGATCCTGGCGACGAAGGTGCCTCATTCGTCTCTTTGGTCATCTCATAGCTCTGGGGAACGTCCATAGGCTCCTCAGATCTCACATTCATCTTCTGAGTACTTGGCTCCACTCGCATCCCAACTCCCTCAGGTCTGTACTCAGGAGTATCCAGCCTCTATGGCCTGCCCTCATGGACGCCCTCTATCGCAATCACCATCTCGCCCTCACGAGACTCCTCCGTTCTCTACTCTCGCAGGAACACACTCGCTCCCTCCTGCATGGTATCGATCACATCAAGGAGCGCATCCATAGACCCCTCATCAGACCCTAGAGCAGGCTGACTGACAGTCGTTCGTGGCCTATCTTCAGCTTGTGGGGCCGTGAATTCCGACACTGGTTCAGAAGAAATCTCAGGCTGGGTGGCAAGCTCTGTAGGCGCCCTCAACTCGAAGGCCTCTTTCTCTGCCTCCCTCTTCGCCTTCGCTTCTTCCGGCTCCAGGATGACCTTCCCAGTAGATGGCTCCTGAGAAGTCCATCCCATAGATGGTTGTCCCGACAGACCTTGCGCCGCCCCACCCTGGATATCATAGCGACGACTCTCGGTCCAGTCCATCACTCCAGTGGGCGTTTCCCGGTCCCTCCTAGCTGCCATATCCCGAAGATGCTGTCCCATCTCCTGGATAGTGGCTGCCTGACTGGTCGTCAGAGCCCTGAGCTCGCGCAGCTCAGCCTCAACTGCCTCCAATCATACCCCATGACTTACTTCCTTTATCTTCTTGCCGGCCAGATCACCTTCCAGCATCAGATACTTATCGAAAGAGGTCTTGGCTAGGAAGCGGATCTTACGGTCTAGGTACTCAATCGCTGACCTCGATGTCCCAAATCCTGCCCTCTCTGGAGTCTCCAACCCCTCGCCATGCTGGCCAAAAAACTCGTCCCACATCTCCTTGACTCCACATGGTTTAGGTGGCGTGTCTGGTGGCTGATATGGGAGCGCCCCCGCCGCCTCTAGTCTCTGCCTCTCCTCCCAAATCTCCTCCACACGCTTCCCAGCTTTGGCCCGCCTCTCCTCTGCGGTCTCTCCTGCTGGTGCTCTCCCTCTCGTGCGATGGTCCGCTCTATCCGGAATCTCAGCCCCCATCTTTCCCTCTGCTTGGCGAGGCTCTCGTGGTGGCTCCCTAGGTACGGGCTCCTCGATGTCAGGGTGCTCTTGGGCATGCGCTGCCAGATACCTATCTATCGTAGAAATGGGCTCTCTACTCCAGCCTGTCCTCTCTCGCTCCATCTCTATCCTCACCTCTGGCGAAAGGATTGCCTCTGGCGGCGGGGATGGAATCTCCTCCAACCGCGGCTCCTCCCCATCGTGGGCGATCTCTGGTACGATCTCTGGCCCCAACTCTGCAGCACGCGCCTGAGGTGGGGTATCCTCCTCAACCTCTATCACTTCTTCCGTAGCATGCCCCCCCTCAACATCCTGTCGTGTCTCTCGCTGTGGCTCACGAACCTCCTCTCGAGGTACCCCCTCCGCCGGATCACCACGCCTCTCGCTAGTCGGAGACACTCTCCACTGTGAAACGTCTAGATGTGCCTCAAACTCCTGTAGTGGTCTTCCAAATGGTGGTGCCTCCTCTCGCACGCGCTGGGGAGATCCACTCAATCCTTCTCCCGTATAACGTTGGAAAACCACCAGGCCAAGTCCGCACTCAGGATAGGCCCCTCGCTCCTCAGCCTCAGGTACTGACCCCTCCTCCCGCCTGGCGAGTGCCTTTCGTCCTCCTCGAGATGGCATGGCCTCTCTGGGCTCAGGGTCCCTCTGCCTCTTGCTCCTTTGTCGCCTCTCAACCCTTGGCGGAGGTGGCTCTGGTCGTCGAAAAGCCTCCCTCAGGTGTGCCCTATAACTTTCCCAGTCCCGGGCCATATCCCTGATCTGCCTGGCCAATGGTCTCTCCGCCTTCCTGGTCCATAGGGGTAACGTCCGCGCCCACTCATCCCTCAATATGCGTTGATCGTGCATGAACTGCGTGAAGGCGGCATGAAGTCCTCCACATTCCCAATCTCCAGGCTGATTGGCTCGCCATCTGGCCCCACAGGTGACGGTTTTAGCTCCTGCATCCTCATCTCTACCTCTGGCCAGGTCCTCACCTCCCTACGGATCCGCGCGATGGGCTCCTCAAACCTGCTGGCCCCTCTCAGCCTCTCAATCATCTGGGTCACCGTCCACCCCATATGCTCCGCATGCCCTCTAAAATCATCCAGGAAGAGCTCTATATCCCCGTCGTCATATATGGGCGTGTGCTCCCTATGGCGAGACCCATGCCGCTCGTAACCCCCCGATGCTCCCAATGGCCTCCGTGGCGGCCGCGTCCCCCTCCCTCCTCTCGGCATGGCTGTCTTCGTAAAGTGAGACCTGCACAATAGGCGAAGGAGACGACAAGCACACATTGGGGTAAGCAAACATGCGGAATAGAACAGGCTTAGGCCAAACCAAGCACACCCACCCAACCTATACATCCTATCATTGAATCTTTCCTACATACTTAGGATCCTACTTTAGAAGGAGTTGGATCATCTATCTTACCTCCTCTCTCGCCACAAATTTCTTCAACCTCGTTCCCGATACCCAATCTTTCCATTCCGTTCCATCCAGCTCCTCAATCTAGTAGGCGCCGAAATCTCCGCATCGCACAATCCAATACAGTCCTAGCCACCTTTTGTCAAGCTTCCTGGACCACTGTTTCTCCAGGGACGAGTCATATAGCAATACGACGTCCCCAACAGCCAAGGGTACCTTTCGTACTCGTGCCAACTGGTCCGATCGCGCCTTGTCATCCATGCAACTCTTTTCCACTTGATTGGACGCCTCATAAATCCTTTCCTCAATTGCACCCACCTGTCGCGCTCTAATGTCAAGCAATTCCTCGAAGGGTAGGTTGGTTTCTAAGTCCTGACGCCTCCAAGTCTTCAAGAAACTCTCGATTGGGAAAGTAGCGTGCCTCCCATACCATAGCGTGGCTGGTGCGTACTTAGTGGTCCTTTTCACCGTAATATTCTCGACAAAAAACGTCGCCCTCAGGTATCTTGGCCACTGATTAGGCCTACGTTCATTCCACTTAGCCAGAAAATTCGTGATGGTGCTATGCTCTCTTGCAAGTCGAGCATTTGCTTGGGGGTGTGCGCCGTACCTTGATAACAACTCTTGCACTTCCTGGCAGGTAAACTCTGACCCTCTATCCATCACGAACTCTCTGACAAATGGATAACGCAGGTAGTACTCCTCGATGTAGCTTATCAAAACTGATCCGCTCTTTGTACGAATGGCTCGTCCATGTACAAAGCCAGAAAGGTTATCACGCGCATCGAAGATATAATTGTAGCCATGATCCCCAATTGGCATGAAGAGTAAGTCGAGACGTACTACGGTCCCCACTTCCCTTTCTAACCTTGGATGCAGCGGCTCTCCTGGCCTCTGAGGAGACCGTTCTTGACAAGGTACGCAGGAACGACAGAACTTACTGACCATCTCCATCATTTCATCCCAATAGTATAGCTCGCTTATCTTAGCATACGTGGCACTAACTCCCCGATGTCCTCCGGCAATGCCATCATGAAGCGTAGCTATTATATCAATCTGATGGTTTCTACCACACACAACCCTTCTGGGGTTTCCCACTTGCCTCTTTACAAAAAGATGACCATAGAGATGCCTCATCTTTTGAGCCCTTTCGCGTGTATCCCTATCTCGCATTTCACACGATAGGAGAAGTCCCAGCTCCAGGTAGATTCCATCATACTCCTCTGCACGGAATGCCTCTTTGATCTCCCCCTCCTCAAACTCGTCATCCTGGCGTCCTGGCACCACAACTCAGCCGGATTCAGCGAGCTTACCTGATCAAAGTTTCCCTGCAGAAGCGTATTGACGAGGAGGTACATTCCTCCCATCAACTCCTGGTGCTTCATTACCTGGTCCGACCCCTCCTCTATCGTTCTCACCTCCTCCACCAGACTATGCGTGCCTGCTAGTGCCAATTTCATCATCCATTGGACATCCTTGCCCCCCCATGGGTCCTCTTCCTCAAAAGGCTTGAGCACAAGCTCTGCCTTCTGTTCATACCCCCTAGGTGCAAGCCAGATGGGATGGCCAACGTAATTCGGCACTCGCAAGGACCATTCATTTATGTGAAGACAGATGTCTTCATCTCGGTCCAGGAACCCATCAACCGGGGCCGCAGCCTCTACCGTCTTCTCCTTTTGCTGGTCCCAGTCGATGTGGCTTAACCCATCTGCTTTATTCTTGTTCTTAGGGATTCTTTCCAGCTCAAAGTTAAACATCCAGATATAAGTCAACCATCTGACGACTGTAGGATCTGATGGAACATAATTCCTCAATGAGTAGGCGAGCGCAGTCGGGTCCACCCTTAATATGAACCTCCTGCCAAAGATATAATTCCTGAAGATCCTTAGGCAATGAAGGACAGCGAGAGTCTCCTTCTTAAATTGAGAGTAATTTCTCTCAGTTGTATTGAGTGTCCGACTCTCAAACCTCAATGGCCTCTCGTTTCCTTCAACATCCGCTTGAATCAGGACTCCTCCCAAGGCAGTCAGCCCAGCGTCCGCTTCAACGACGAATGGTCTTACCTCCGTGGCATCATAGTCTGGCACTCCCAGTACTAACCCTCCTTCTCGAAATGTTCCTTCATTCTTGCCACCGCCTTTTCCTGCTCCTCACCCCGGATCCATTCCTGATCCTAACGAACTAACTTTCTTAAGTGCTCAGTCTTGGCGGCAAAGTTTTTGACGAAGGTCCTTCAAAACCCACATGTCGAGGAAGCTTCTAACATTTGTTATTGAATGGAATGGTATTGGTCATTCAATAATCTTGTTCGTCTTTCTTACGTCCGGTCGACGACCCTTCTCACTACAGACGAACCCGAAGATGGTAGCCTCCCTCATGCAATGTCTGGATTTGGCTCCACTTGCCGTGAGGTTGTGCTCCTCAGGCAAACTCATGACTTTATCTAGATCCTGAACGTGCTTCCAGACAAAACGCCTTACTCCCGGCAAAACTTCGTCATTCTCCTTCTCTGTTGGTCCTTTTACCGCTAAGTCATCGATATATGGCTGGGTGATATGCAGGCTGACTGTCTGCATGGCTCGAATCATATGTCGCTGAACCATCGCCACTACATTAGTCCACCCTTGCGGAGCCACATTCATATGGATCAACCCTCTAGGCGTATGCATCGCCGTTACCGACCTGTCTGGCGGGTAGACTGGAAACTGGTCGTACCCCGAGTAGAGGTCTATAAGTGAAATTATAGGCCTTCCAGCACAGGACTCTGACAGCGCGTCAGCATTTGGCAAACCTCCCGCATCTCTCACACAGTCACCGCATTCAGCCGCTGCAAATCTTGCACCCACCTCGTCCCATTAGGCTTAACAAAACAAAACCATGGATGCGTGTACGACCCACTTGAGTAGTCGGCGACATGCGTACGTATCTTGTCGTCGAGGTAATCCACTACCTTTTTCTCCTCGTCAGGATTGGGATACCGTGCCCCTCTCAAATTCCATGGCTCATGCGGCACGGTATGAATCCTAAACATGGGGATCTTATCTACGTCCAACCGCCCTCGCTGATCATCATTGAATGCATAGGCGCGATGCCTCTTCCTCATTAACTCTATCATCAGCGCCCTTGCCTGGGGTAGCAGGAAATTAGGTTCTCCCACTATGAACTTCTCCTCATTCCCTTCATTGATACGGCACGGCCCTACCGCTGCTTGCTCCCTCATGCATCGTATCAATCCCCGCTCCCGTTCGTAATAAACCTCCTCATTTTTCGTGACGAGAACAAGAATCGGGCGACACTTCTTATCTATCGTCTTGTACCGCCTTTGGGAACCCTGCTTGAGCCGTCCCCTAAAGAGGCCGGCTTATTGCTTGTGACTGCATCAACGCAGGGTCCCCCTTCCGCTCAGAAGCCTATAAACCAACTCTAATTCCCCAGCCTGGGGACATTCCAAGACATGTTCCCTCAGGGTCTGAATGGCATCTGGATCCGCCATCTCGTGTGTGGCTACTATATCCATAGCCTTGTTTACGTTCGATAAGCTGAGGGAAAATGCCTCACCCCCGTCCACCTCCTCTGGCTCCATAAGGAGTCTTCGACGCTCATCCTCAGATTCCTCCATCGTAAACGAGCTAGGATTCGGCCGGTTCCTTATGCTCCGGGGACCTGTGTTTCAGCAAGTAATTATCTCGTAGTTTCTACATGCCGGATCACACATGATCAGGATCAGAGTTCCGTCGTGTTTATTAAACATCAACGTTTCTGTCCTGCACAGGAATGGCCTCTCAAAAGAATGCCATGGTCCACATCCGGCATGACGAAAAAACATACCCCGACCTTCATTCTCCCAACCTCGATGAGCACGTTCGATGTCGTCCCTCAAAACACCGCCTTGCAATTGGCTCCGTGCAAGATACCGCAATTCGAGCGGTCTATCTCCAACCCAAACCTAAGTGCGTCAGCTTCCCTGATGATATTCATCTCTGCTCCCGTATCTACCATTGTTGCGCACTTCGATCCTTTTACCACCAAATCCACCATCCCACATGCCACACATTTCCAGTCCATCTTTGTCCCTGTCTCCGCCCATTCCACCTCCTTTGGCAGAATCACGCTTAGATGGACATTTGGCACCTAGCGTCGAGAGAGCCTTCCTTTTAGCTCGTTATGGAACTTAGGCGCAGACGCCAAGATTTCTTTCAAGGTCACCAGGTCGTTATGACCTTCAAGTAACCTATCGATTACCTTCTCCACGTCGAATCCTTCCTCCAACTGGACTGCATACTTCTTTTTCTTTGGCACCACATCGTGGAGAATCGGCTCGGTTTCCTCCTGGGCTCCTCTCTTCTTGGCCCTTTGCTCCGCTCTCTGATCCTCTTCCTGGCGCAGCCTTTCATCCTACTCGTCCTCCTCATCCTCCACCTCTACGGCCTCCTTTCTCTTCTCTGGCTCTGGCTCTTTCCATAGAGGTTTCTGGCTTGCACTGGCCTTAGCCTGTCCTCTGGTACGAGCCACCTGCACCATTCTTCCTTGCACCGTAGGGGGTCTGACCATCATTCTGGACCGCGGGCCTGATCCCACGGTAGCCACTCCAGGGTACCCTTGTCGCCCTGGCACCGATTCAGGGCCAGACTCATAAAGAATGACTTTGGGAATACCAGCCTTCCAACCCTTCACTTCCTCGCAGATATCTACCAACTTCTGCTGGTACCTCCCCATTTTCTCCCACAAGTCTTCCATCTTCCCCAGAAGGATTGATGTTGGCTCTACTTTCTCATTTTCATCCTCTCCGTCTGACTCAACGACTATGGGCTCTTCCTTTATAGCTCCTGCCCATAGTCTCTAGTCACCTCTTCATCACTTTCCACTTCTTCCACCCTAATTGGTGGGTCATCCTTTTCCGGCCACAACCTGAATGTGCAGGCGGCGCTTGCCTCGCAACTATCCTTCTCTGAGCTTCCGCCCTTATTCCGCCTGGAACCCTCTGGTCGATATACTCTCCGAACTGATCGTATATATCACCATCCATATTGGAATAGATCAGTCCGGCCTTCTCATCCTCCCGTCTTGTACTGCAGAACCGTATGACCTTGTCTATCGCAATGCTGGCAAATAGCGGTCCTCCAGTCAGAACGAGGCCTTCCATATCCTTGACCTCCTTGGTTCCCTTAACTACCCTGGCCTTGGCAGCCCTGGTTGTCCCATTGTCCTCCTCGGCCACCACCGTTCCTGCCATGTCCTCTTCCGCCGCCTCTTCCTCCATTTCCCTGATTGCCCTGACCTTGATTACCTTTACCTGCCACGCTGTCGGCGCGAATACCCTTACAAGGGTATCCGCCCTGGTTTTTGTAGGTGACAGAAAGTGAGTTGGTTTGGAGTTTTAAGTATACCGCGCGAAGCGCGACTGTGTTTGAGGCTTACGTTGGCTGGATGGTTGACTAGGGTAGAGAGTGTGTGGGCGCGCGGATTTTTGAGGCGCGTGTGATCTTTTTATTTGTTGATGGTTGAAGGGTCAGCGTGATCGCCGGCCAGAAATTAGTATTTCTGATTAAGTTAGGATTAAGAAGATTATGTCTCGTTGACTGATGTGCTTGCCTGTGACCTATGCGTACGTGCGGAGAACGACATCAACAACAAGGAGGCCTTGAAGTGTTTTCGGTAGGCCCGCGAGTCGCACGATGTCCATTTAGTTAGGCGTCCGTTAGAGCTAAACCGAGACTTGGGCCTAGCATTAGCGGTTACGACGTCAGACTTTCGTCAAAGGGGTTCAGGGAACGAGACCGAGCGACGACAACGCGGGGATCAGAGTGGCGCGGACGAAGCGCGGGGTTGAAGGCCCGACGGGGCTATCCCTTTTGGTTTTGTCGTTAGAGGCGTCTGAACGGTACTAGTGGTCCCTTTTTCCTCGTTCGCCGTATTCCGACAATAAAAAGATTAAATATTTTATTATTTTATTATTTGTCGTCGTTCTTATTTAATTCCATGTTTCGACTTTTGTAAACCGGACGTGGCATCGGCCACGGGTGGCCGTTGAGGCGGTCGAGGACTTTGAGCGGGCACATCCATTAGTTGGCCTATCGATTTTTGCAGGTTCGTGGCCGGAAGGAACTTGAGTGGCGGGACTGTTTGCGGGAGCACCGTCCGTTCCCCTCAATCCGCGGAGGAAGGGTTGGGTGCGAGCATGCTCGTGGGACTCCCCTCCACCTCGGCCTTCAAAGTTTTTTCATAAATATCTACTATTATTACCGAGACCTGCATTTAGCCGGGCCACCTAGGCCTTTGCCTGGGCCTCACAGCAAGCCGTGCCTTCGGCCGTGATGGGGCCGTCCTCTTGGGAGCTTACCCATCGTGGGCCCGAGGTGGTGGTGGACACCATCAAAGTAAAGTTGGTAGGAGGAGGCTGTGGCGGGTCGGCAGCACTATGTGTTGGACACACCGCCACCGGGCAGGGTATAGGGACGAAAGCAACTGCGGAGGCTGCCGCATTGAGGCGCTGGCAGGGCCTGGGTGAAAGGCGACAGAGCGGTGACGGGCGCTCGAGCTGGGCAGTAGGGCTGAGTGACGAGCGCTGGGGCTGGGAAGCGGGTCGACAAAAAGGGCGGAATGAATCTGGCGGGGTTGCCGTGCCAGATACGTTCAGTAAAGGAGGTGGTGGAAGGATGTGCAGGGCGCAATGATGAAAGGTAGGGGAGGACGTCGGCGAGAGTGAATACTGGCGGAGGTAATTCCGACTGACAGGAAGAGTGTCGAAAGTGTGGGAGGAAGGATGGATCGGGACGGAGAAGTGTGTGGGTACATGCGGGGCGAGCGTGAGGTTGGCAGCGAGTGATGAGCGCTAGCACGGTAAGGCAAGGCGGAGGTAACAAGGACGACGGCGACGGACATGGCGGAGTGGCGAACGGGCTGGCGGAAAACTGCCCGACGAAGAGCGAAGGGAGCGGCACGGGGCGAGTGAACCTGGACGGGGAGTTGTGGAGGGTGCGTGCGGAGATGGCGAAGAAAGAAACAGGCGGGGCGGAGTGGGCAAAGCACAGAGCGCGATCGTTAGGGTGCGGTTTTGGGAAGGAGAAGAGCCGATCCTGGGGTTTGGCCCCGGGCAAGTCATCTGGTGGGGTCAGTTTTGGCAGCAAGTTAGTAGAATAGAAGGAAGAAAGAGAAAGGATTGCGCCGAGTTATGGCGGGAGGAGTAATTGCGGGAGCAGAGAGTCGAAATATCGCTCGATTCTTGATAGAATCGAGTGGGGTGAAAGCTGGGATAGGGGTTTTCTGACGGGGCGAATCGATTAGTGGTGTCAGAATGGCATGGCGATTAGTAGATTGTCAGTAAGGAACAAAAAGCGTTGCGTGGAGATGGCGGAATGGCTGAGCGGGAAGAGGGAAGTCTCGCCTGATTCATGTTGAAATCGAGAGCGACAAGAGGTTAGTTGGAGGTTCGAGACCATTGCGAATCCGATGGCTATGTCAGATTTCGCGGTGGAGTAGCAGGTTTGGAGGTTAGTTTGTGAGGTTGGCTAGTAAGGAACTGCGTTGGGGAGAGTGGTTAGCGAGGTGCTAATGCATCTGGCCGTACCTAAGCGGAAGATTCGTTCGGGCACTCTACCTAAGCGGAGATGGCGAAGAAAGAAACAGGCGGGGAGAGTGGTTAGCGAGGTGCTAATGCATCTGGTCGTACCTAAGCGGAGATGGCGAAGAAAGAAACAGGTGGGGCAGAGTGGGCAAAGCACGGAGCGCGGTCGTTAGGGAGCGGTTTTGGGAAGGAGAAGAGCCGATCCTGGGGTTTTGGCCCCGGGCGAGTCATCTGGTGGGGTCAGTTTTGGCAGCAAGTTAGTAGAATATAAGAAAGAAAGAGAAAGGATTGCGCCGAGTTATGGCGGGAGGAGTAATTGCGGGAGCGGAGAGTCGAAATATCGCTCGATTCTTGATAGAATCGAGTGGGGTGAAAGCTGGGATAGGGGTTTTCTGACATGGCGAATCGATTAGTGGTGTCAGAATGGCATGGTGATTAGTAGATTGTGAGTAAGGAACAAAAAGCGTTGCGTGGAGCTGAGCGGGAAGAGGGAAGTCTCGCCTGATTCATGTTGAAATCGAGAGCGACAGGAGGTTAGTTGGGGGTTCGAGACCATTGCGAATCCGATGGCTATGTCGGATTTCGCGGTGGAGTAGCAGGTTTGGAGGTTAGTTTGTGAGGTTGGCTAGTAAGGAACTGCGTCCGGGAGAGTGGTTAGCGAGGTGCTAATGTATTTGGCCGTACCTAAGCGGAAGATTCGTTCGGGCACTGTTAGTTTTGAAGATGGTAGATCGGGATTCTGGGCAGTGGTGAATGTAGAAGTGACGTTAGTATTTGTATGAGGGTTGTTGGTTCAGTCGGAGTCGGAGTTACAGGCTGCGCCGGGAAGAATGGCTTTGGGCTACCCGCGTAGGCTTCCGTGTTCCTGCAGAAGATTCGTTCGACTTCACCCGTCCTTCCGACGAAAGTAGCGTGAGCCCAACCGCGGGGGTTGGAAACTTACCTGGTGGCCGCCCCAGCTCTCTCTCTGAAACGCCTGTCGTGATGCTCTCTCAGGCTGAGGTACTCATCCCATGACTTCGAGTGAACCCGGTCGTACGAGCGACCAGGTGCAGGCGCTTACCAAGACACAGTAGGGAGCTTAAAGACGAGCGACGGGTTAGGGCTAAGAAGGGGAGGAGAAAGAGGCCGATGAACCCGAACGCATGGTGAAGCTACATACATGGGGTGTAGAGCTTGATGCAAATCGCTGTTTTCTTGCGAAGCTACAATCGTGCAACTCCTTGCAACCAAGTCTGTATTTGGAATCTCCGTTCCGGGTCTTTCAACTCTCGTTCGTAATCCCTCCTTCATGATGCGCAACATTAATAGTCGGATACGGTTGGACTGTGGAGCAGGGAATGGAAAGGCAGCGAGCAGACAGGGACACAAGGAGGAAGGTGATAAGCAGAGCTGCCCGATGAATTGTAAGTAGAGAGAGAGTGAACTGAAACGGTATTCACCAATTCGTGGCAGCTGAGGTAGATCCCAGGGCTCGATCCCTAGTTTCCCAACTTACCTGTGTACAATACCAGCGACAACTCGAAGAGTTGAACCTGCGACCTGTAGAACTGCCAGTGGTAGGTAGGTCTGTCGTAGGTCTATAGGTAGCCAGGATTCGATCCGTAGACCTATAGACTAGAAGGCTAGCTGCAGTCCTTCTAGAAGGTTGGCAAGTGGTCAAGTGGTGCAGGCAAGTGGTCAAGTGGTGCAGGCAAGTGGGCAAGTGGTGTGACTAAAGCAAGCCCATGTTGGAGAGAGTCTAGAAAGTACCAGTCCGGTCCAGCAAGTACCACGGGGGGAACTGTGTGCACCATGGGCCAGGGACACAAGGCAGACCAATGCAGCACAGAAGTATAAATCAAGAGGCTGCGTCCACTCATKSATTCATTCCTGCGGATGCCATGCGGAAGCGCTGCCTAGCAGCTTGTGCGAGGAGGTCTGCAGAGTGCCCGAAGACGAAGTGGGCAGAGGAGTAGAGTGCAGCGATAGGTAGTGGCAGCTAGCGCTGCCATAGSTGTAGCCTAGCATGTGTGTGTGTGAAGTGTGATACTGAGTGTTGCGTGTGGGACATCCAGGGKGATCCAGAGTGCGAACAGTGAGTTGTGTGGGCGCTCAGTCGCCATAGCCAGTTTGAAGAGAACTCTTATGTGGATACAATATCTTGAGTACTGAGTGGGCGCCTGTCGCCAATTTGCTGTTTCGCTGTTTGCATACATGACAAGTTGAWTAATCGTAGTGTGAKTTCACTGGTATCGGAGCTGGTACCSGYTGTTMCATGCGYCGTCGTGTGCAGGCGCCATAGCTGAGGTGGCCGTTGGAGGAGGAAGTCCGCCATAGCGGACCTTCGGTGGAAGAAGCCGCTGCGCACCTGCATCAAGAAGAAGACGACAGAGAGAGAGAGAGAGAGAGAGAGAGAGACATGAGCGATCCAAGATTGGTTGTCACTTACCTATAAGGCGAGACGGTGGAGTCCGGTGGTGAAGGAAGACGACGGCCATAGCCGTGGAGTATTGACACAGAGTACCGGAGGAGACAAAGAAGAGGGAGAGAGAGGGAAGGAAGGAGGAAGGAGAGGTAAAGACGAGGAGACAGACATAGCCGAGGGTGAAAAAAAAAGAAGAAGAAGAAGATCGGGGTGCAAGAGGGAGAAAGAAAGAGAAGGTGAAGGTGCCGGCAGCCATAGCTGAAGGTTGACGAAGGTTGGAGGGTTGACCGAGGGTTGACCGAGAGTTGACCGAGGGTTGACCAGAGGGTTGACCAAGGAGGTTGACCAGCGTTGACCGGGCCGAGGTTGACCAGCGTTGACCGGGCCGTTGACCAAGCCGCCGTTGACCAAGCCGCCGTTGACCAAGACTTGACCAAGCTGGAGTTGGTGAGATCTCGCCAAGCCTTCADMCTTYTCCCTACCCCGTGGATGTACACTCACCCATTGGTACTTGCTGAGGTCAAGAGTCTGTCTGTCTCTCCTTTTTGCATTGAGTCTCTTCTGTCCTAGGTGATAGAATTTGTGGATGAAGGATAGGGCCTTGCTTCCAAAGCCACACGAGCTTAGTAGAACTCCTACTCTGAGACTTGAGGACCTGGGCATGAGCGGCGAGCGCTCGTTAAACAACTCGTCTAGCCCAATGACCGGTACTGACCGGCAGGTTTTTCAATATCAGTTTAGTGGGTCTGAACTCTGAGCTGTGGGCTGAAACGAAGGTCGTCGTTAAGTATTGAGGCCTGGTTGAGCCACTCCCCTACC